TCAATGGGGGGGGGGGGGGAATATTGGCTAACTGATTCTTTCCCCCTCGGTATTAGTAACAAGGGGGAAACTATTGGCTAGCTGATTCTTTCCCCCGTCTGTAATAGTAACAAGGGGGAAAAACTATTGGCTAGCTGATTCTTTCTCCCGTCTGTATAAGTTATTAGGGGGGAAGCTAAGTATACCTGCATCACCCACAGAAAGTGTGCAGTGCACTGGAACTAGGTCTCGTGCCCCACTATATACAGAGTTATGTCCCTTTGTTTATTATTAATACCTGGTACCGAAGTTTGTCTGGAGCATAAGTTCCATGTTATTCCACCTACGTTGACCAAACTTACCATATTTTTGTATTTTTGGAAGGTGGAATCTCTTGCACTAAAATCAGGTTTTGTGTCCCACTATATACAGAGTAATGGCCCTTTGTTTATCTTTAATACCAAAGTTTGTCCACGGCATAACTTTCATGTTATTTCACCTACGTTGACCAAATATGCTATAGTTTTAATGTACCTTGGGAAGTAGGAATGACGTATTCTAAATTCGGGTCTCGTGCCCCACTAGTGATATAAAGAGATACGGCCCTTTGTTAATTTGTCTATTGGCTAATAAGGGGAGACATATGTTTTTGTTCACAAAAACAAAATTCTAGTTATAAAGATAAATTGAAAGAAAGAAAGAAAGAAAAATTAAATGAAAGAAGTACATGTAACAGGTATTTATATTTGACAGGTTTATTTTACTTTGTATTTATAGCTATTTAGTTTGCTGTAAGAGTTTCAATCTGTAACATGATTTTATATGTAAAACACTAAGATATTAGTTATGAATCATTGACATTTTCATAACTTATCAAATTAAAATCTAAACAGACATGTTGTTTGAAAAATTACTATATGCTGTACAAGAAAAATTATAGATGTAATGTTTTTTCTGACTCATTAATTTAAATATTTAAAAAGATGTGTCATTCAGTTCAGATTTCTGTCAGAGCCTGGCTAATAAACAGGCTTCCATGTGATTATTTTAATAGTTGAAATTAAGTTGTGAATGAGAAATTGTTGAAAGTTTTTATTTCATGTTTTCTCTCCGCTGTTTTTATTTGAACATAATTTTGACTTTCATTTTTACACATTTATCCACACAAAAATAGTCATATTTTAATTTTCTTTGATGGGAAAAAGTGAAAAACTAATGTGGTTTTTTTAATGAAAGAAAAATAAACAAAATTGCTCTTCATTGGAATTTGTGTCTCACAGTGCTCATCATTGTAAACTGAACATTTCATGCATGGGCAAATTGTCAGGATTTAAAATATATTCTAATGCAGAGACCTGTAGCTGATCTTATTTAAGATTATGTATGAAATGTGGTCAAGCATAAATTGTGTTAATAGTTCATGTTTGAACTTCCGTACCATTTCAGAACAACCTGACATAATATCTGTGTACCAATACCAGTAAACATTTGTGTGTGATAACATGTTTTTAACAGGACCATACTCTAGGTACACGTATCAGTCATTGAAACATAAAAATCACTGTTGTACATGTACTTTATATACTTATGATATTTATCAGTTTTGCATGTATATATCTTGTTTTAGTATGACTCGTATTGGAGAATTGTTCATGAATAAGCGACAAAGTATGCAATTGTTATCATTCTCCTTTAGCAGAGTTAGGAGCCTGGGTAGAACTTTTTTTAAGTTGTCATTGTGTTAAGCTGAATGTGTGCAATAAACATTTCATGTATGAATTTTAATTTTCGTGTTTTGTTGTTATTTCCTGTGTTCACATCTCTAAACTGAAAGAAAAAAAGGGACATTTCAGGTTTTCTTTTATTTATGGCAAAACCATATTTATGTTTAATATATTTCTAACACTAGAACCTAAAACAGAAAGGACTAGGTTTGTACCCAGTCTGAGTCAGTAATTGTGTCTGTGTATCACTTTGTCCCGAGCATGTTTCATATAATATTTTACCTACAATAGCCAAATCATAACGTATGTGAATACCTCATGGGATGGCAGGGTGTTAATTACATACTAGGCTTGGGTCTTGTGTCCTGTATGTACTGAGTTAGTATCGATTGTACAGTTCTATACCAAAGTTTGTCTGAATTATAGGAATGTAACCAGGTGTACTAAGTACAAAATGTCGCCAGCGCGCGCGAAATCTGCACGAGCTGTGAGAGACTTGTGTGAGTGTGTGAATGGTCCGCGCATGCTCAGTGTATCACGATACCTGTCACCTGTCCCCAAACCTGTCACTCCGCACCTGGCCGGCACACGGCGAGCACCTTTCACTGTTTCCCTGGTAAGTAGACCATTAATCAATCCAATTGTATATCTGTGATATTCATTTTATATTGTATATTCAAATCCTCCAGAATGGTAAGTGTATTACTTTCCATTCTGCAGGTTTCCGTTTCTACGGAAAACATCATCAAGCAAATAAAATCTGTGCGGAGTAACCACGTCTTGGTTCTTGATTTGGATCCTGGTCTACAGGAACTAAGGATTGCTCATAACATTACCAGTCACTGGTGCAGTATGATAATTGTTTTGTAAGGTAGCATATCACCTTAACCAAATAACTTGTATACCATGTAAGATAACATACTACCTTAATCAAATCACAGGTATAACATGTAAGGTAGCATATCGCCTTAATCAAATCACAGGTATACCATCTCGGGCAGTATATCACCTTAATCAAATCACAGGGATAACATGTAAGGTAGCATATCACCTTAATCAAATCACAGGTTTACCATGTCGGGTAG